CCGCGACCGCCGAGTCACTGTCGTTGACGCTGACTTCCGACGGGAGAGGAACTCATCGATCAGAACCGGCCGAGTCCGTACAACTCCGAAGACGAATGGGATGATGAGTCCCAGTCCGGAGGACACGACTCAGCGGAAGACGACGACTACATTGACGCCGGCGTTTCCAATGATAAGGGAAATACACCGGACCGCCGAGAGAACTCGGCGGGAGACCAGAAAGGCTCGAGCCGAAGCTGGGGAAACTCAGCGAACCGACCTCCGCGACCGTACAACCAACGAGAACAGTCGAATCGTGGAGATGGATCACGCGACAACACCCAACGAGGACCTTGTGCAGCTTGTGGAAGAATGGGGCACTCGGCTCACTACTGTCGACGACGCTGCAAATTCTGCAGACAAGTCCATGAAGGCGGCCAGTGTGAGCTGTTCCGTCAATATGAGAAGCTGGCTGCGTTCGTGAAGAACTCTGTCGACAAGTCGCAAGTGCCAGAAGACCTGCAAAACCTTTACGCGCCGAGTGATTTAAACTCGGCGGCCCGCCAACACTGACTGGGTTGGAATATGCCGGGCTGCCACAGTCAGCTGAACCTGCAGTTGAGGCGAACTTCTTGTTTGCCTTCGTAGGCGAAGCAGGACGGCCCGAGGGAAGAAGCGGGGATGGCAATTGGATGTGTGAAATCGACGGAATTGAACGTGAGCTCGGTGAGTTAGATGATAACAACCGAGCGATTGCAAGTGTAACTCGGCAGTCAGACCAGGCTGTGCATCGTACCTGGATAATGAAGCTGCTTCCGGGAGAGCGGCTGGGATGGTGGTCAGCACAGACGTTTGATCGCCGAGTTAGAATGAGAGCCCTCGTATTGGGTGCAGTGAACGACCGAAGGACCAAGATATTATTGGATACCGGAGCAAATGTCTCGGCGATCAGTGAGTACTTCGCGAGGAAACTGCGTCTCAAGAGAGTGGCCAGCCGAGATAAGCGAATTGACATACAAGGAATAAGTAAAGACAGGATGGTGACAACGTCAAGAGCTGTGGTGAAGGTGACACTCGGCTGGGAAGTGGCATACGAGTTTGAAGTATGGATAATGCCTCATCATGCCGGAGTCGATTTGATTCTCGGCACCGACTTTATGATCCCAGCTGGAATACGTCTGGATCTGTACAACTCGGCGGTCAAGCTACCCGATGAGATGGTGATACCACTCATCCGGTCAAGTAATGCACCGACCAAGACCGAGTTTGGACCAAATGTACCATGCGGGCCACCAGACGGGTTGACGATCGAAAGTCGAATGACCGCTGAGTTCAAATTACCCAGGCGACAACCCAGTGAGTCGACGCATGACCTATGGGTGCGACGGACGAAGGGTTGGATTCCAACGGTTGTTTTTAATCGCCGAGGAAGACCAACCCATGTCCTGATTACGAACGTACGACAGACGTCAGTCTGGTGCCCACCT